GCAGGAAACGGGTTAAAAGCCAGAGTGTCACCGAGAGCCACGTTTAACTGAGCCTGTTTCCCCTGTCCATTTAGCCATTTATTTCCTCTCATTTACAGTTTATGTTCCATGTTGGTTGATTCTGTGACATGAGAAATAGCTGTTAATCGGAGCGTAAGTACACGCAGGACGCAGCCCGCAGCCCGCAGCCGACGGTGCCATTCAGGCACGAAGCACCGGGGCAGCCAGGGGCTCGCTCCCACGCAGATTCCGCCCTGCTGGGGTGTGTGACGTTGTTACCAGGACTGCGGTGGCCATGTCAGGCACTGCGACAGACAGCACGAGGGCGTGACCGCGTGGACAGAGGCTTCAGAGGGCTTCTGCTCCTTCTAAGATACAAATACGCAGCCGTCATGGAGGCTTTTTCTGTTACCTGCTTTATGGCCTTAACGACTTAATGACCCACGTGAAAGCTGACTCCCAGTCGCATCCATCCTTTACCTCTAGATAAGGAAAACTCTGTTTTCCAGGTAGCGTTTTGGAGAGGTTTTTTTTTTTTTTTTTTTTGCTATAGGGCGCGTGCGCTCGCCAGACAGACAGAGAGAGACATAGAGACAGAAAGCGAGAAATCACCCCCCAGGGGGGATGGTCACGCCGCAATCCCTTCTCCTCCATTCTCCTCTCGGGATCTTGGGCACGCACACACACGCACCCGGCGTGAGTTTTAAGCCACCGGGTCCGGGACGCGAACCGCGGTCGACTACGTGGGAGTCCAGCGACATAGCCATTACGCTAACTGCTGGTTCCCTCCAGGTAGCGTTTTAAGCGTCAGTCTTTCTTAGCCTTACTCAAGGAGATCACGTCTTACTAGTAATTCTGGATGCTGCCTCTTAAACTGCCGTTCGTCTGCTGGTCAGAGCCTTCTCGTGCCCGTCACACCCGTCAGCATTGGGGCTCTCTTTGAAATGAGTAGAGTCCTTGGAGACCTGTTTGCTGTCACCACGCGGACTTGTGGAGACCGTCTGGATGGGGTGGCGGAGGCGGGGAAACGGAGAGAGGCTCCCCACCCCGAGGAGCATGGCTGCTTCTGACGACCAGGTTTCATTTTGCTGCCTCCACGGCTTCAGGGAGATGCGTGGAAAGTACATAGAGTCATTCCACTGGGCGGGCTTTTGTTTTGCCGTAGAACTTTTTTGGATTTAGAACAATACACAGTTGGAAGAAACGTTTGTAAAGCCACGTCGTACTCCTAGGCTAGACACAGGGAGTCACTGGCTAGAGGCCGTACATTTTAGAAGGGTGGCCTGGGGAGCAGGGGGAGGCATTCGTCACGTTCATCGTAATTGCTAGTGTTGGTTGGCAGTTTGTCTGTCCCAAGCAGTGGTTAGATATTTTAGCTGGCATATTTGTGTTTTATGGGTATTTTGTCTTGCTTTGTGGTTTTCGTTTTATATTTTTGAGAGAGCAGCTTGCTGTTTACCCCGGCCTGGCCTTGAACTCATAATCTTCCCGCCTCAGCGCCCTGAGTGGTTGGGATGACAGTCATGTGTCCCTGTGCCTGACACTCTTGTGTTAAGTTTGATCTCCTTTGACTGCTTTTTACAAGTTAAGTGTCCTGAAACAAATCCTGGTGATAGACATGCGCTTAGAGCTGGCCTTTTAACGCGTATCAGTTCAGAAGGTGATACCTGCAAAAGGTGTAATATTTGTGTATGCATGTCCTATGAATTTTCCAGTATTCCATTTTTACTAAAATTAATTGTTCGTTTTAGAGAATTTAGAAAAATGCAGAAGGGGAAAGAATAAATACTACCTAGAGATAACCACTGCTTAGAATATGAGATTTGTGCGCTTCGCATCCTTCACAGATGATGAGCGTGCGACAGAAAGCACGTTGTTTCAGCTTTGTCTTCAGTGGGCTGTGCCCATTCGTAGATTATTGGAGCTCGTCCCGCTAGTTGCACACAGGATGCCGCTCACATGCTCGGCAGTCGGCACACGTGTGCTTCTCAGCGTCTGCTCACTGTTCCCATACGCACCTCCACAGTTGGCAGTGTGTAAGTGTCTGCTGGGTCATTGGGAAAGTCATGGTGTATTTTTGCATAGAAAAATGTGGAAAAAATACATCACGCCTCTTCCAACAACCCAGTATTAAACAGAAGGCACAAAATAGGAGTGTGAGGAAAAGCCTGCCAAGATTACGATTTTAGGAACCAAGGAGAACAGGTAAGCATTGAGACGGTCACACCTGGGTGGCCCTGAGCACACGACCTTTATGATCACGGAATAAGAATAAGGACTTCTACTCAGAGTGGCTGCTTAGTTTGGCTGTACTAAGTGTGTACTTCCAAAAGTAAAAATTAGTGGGGCCAGCAAGAGGCATGGTAGTTAAAGTGCTGGACTCCCACATGGCCAACTGTGGTTCAAGGCCCAGACTGGGTGGCTGGTTTTCTCACTTTCCTTCTCTCTCTCTTTCTCTCTGGTCAAACTGAAGAGTAATAATAAACAAATTAAATTAATAATTTAAAAAATAAACAAAAATCGGTTTATTCAAATCCAAAACTCAAGCGTTTAGCCTTTTTTTGGTTTTATTTTTCTTTTTTTTTTTTTTTTTTTGGTTATAGGGTATGTGCGCTTGCCAGAGACAGACAAAGGGAGAGAGAAAGTAGAAATTAGCCCCCCCAGGGAAAGTGGCCATGCCATAATCCCTTCTCCTCCAATCTCCTCGGGATTTGGGGGAAGCACTCACCCAGTGTGATTTTTCAAGCTGCTGTGTCCAGGACTCGAACTTTGAAGTTGGCCGTGTAGGATCCAGTGCCTTAACCTCTACACTACCTGCTGGTGCTTAGTAATATTTTAACTGGTGCTTAGTGACTCGACCACTGACTTTAGTCTTTGTGGTCTCTTTGCTATCTGCTCAGCATGGGTTATAGTCATTAGATTAGGCCCATTCGGGGCTGGTGCCAGGCCCTAGTGCTTGAAGGAATGAGATCCCATATAGACGACCATGGTTTTTATTGTTTGGTTTTTGTTTTGTTTTGTTTTGGGGAAAGGTTTTTGCTCTAGGGTGCGTGCATTTGTCTAAAAGACAGACAGACAGATATAGAGAGAGACAGACAGAAAGCCAGAAATCACCCCCCAGGGGGGATGGCCATGCCGCAATCCCTTCTCCATTCTCCTCTCGGGATCTTGGTCACGCACACACACACACACCCAGCATGAGTTTAAGCCACTGGGTCTGGGACTCGAACCGCGGTCAACTACATGGGAGTCCAGCCACATAGCCATTACTGCAACTGCTGGTCCCTAGCCAACCATGGTTTGAATCCCAGCCCTGGCAGCTCTACGAGTTAAGCTTTTTTGCAAAAATGTACCTGTAATTAATGTATTTGGACCATTCTGTTTTCACAAACTGTTCTCAATGGAGGCTGTTTTAGCTATAAACACATTCCTGACAAAAAAAAAATGTTGGTGATCTAAATAGGGTTTCTTGTGCTTTCAATTTCAGGGTGAATACATACCAGCTTTAAACACCTATCCTAATCTTGGAGTTATAGACTTAAAATATTTTCCATATTACGGGAAAAAACTTCACGTAAGTATAGAAGTTCTTAGGGAACACGTCCTCTTTCGGGAACCCGGAGTGTCTGTGTGGGAGTGAGACTTGTCTGGGGCAGGGAGCGCATGCCCCGTGTGGTCTGTGCACCCCGATTGGCTTTTTGTCTTTAATAGCTTTTAGCCCTAGGGTGTGTGTGCTCGCCGGAGAGAGACATAGGAGGAAAATGAGAAATCAGCCCTGCACAGCCAGGCCACATTCCTTCTCCTCTAGGCTCCTGTTGGGATTTGGGCATGTGTGCACACGGACCTGGCACAGTTTTCAAGGCACCAGGTCTGGGGCTCAGACCGGTCGAGTGTGTGGGAGTCCAGCACCTCACCCTCTACAAAACCTGCCCCCCCTCTTTGGCTAAAAAAATCTATGGCAAGTGGAGATCCAGCATTTATAGTCCAGGCCACAAAACCAAAGGAGGTACATTACCGGGTGGCTATTTTCAAATACAAATACGGTTGACCCTTGAACAAGGTGCGAGTTGGGCACACCAACCCCTCCTGCAGTCAGAAATCTGTGTGGAACTCGTGGCTTCCCTACAGCTGAACTAGGAGTCTACCGTTGGCCAAAAGCCTCACTGGTGACAGCTGGTTACTGCATTTTGTACGTCACGTGCATCGTATCCTGCGTTCCTACAATACGCTGGAGAAAGGGCGTTTACCAGACACAGCGCTGGCTTCGGCAGCACGTACACCCAGGCTGGAATGACAGGACGAGCGTAACCCTGCGGGGAGATGGCACAGATTCGTGAAGCAGCCCACGTTTGTCAGTGTGGATGAGCGCTAACCCCTGACTTTCAAATCAAGTTATAAAAACAAACAAAAATCATAAAGGAGAAAATACATTTACAATATCCATTGAAAACAGTCCACATATAAGTCAGCCCACAGAGTTCAAACCCATGTTGTTGAAGAGTCCGCTGGACCAGGGCCAGCAGGTATAGTGGTTAGGCCACTGGACTCCCACATGTCTGACCACAGTTTGAGTCCCGAACCTGGTGGCTTGAAACTCACACCAGGCACATGTGTGTGCGTGCCCAAAATCCAGAGAGAATGGTGGAGAAGGGATTGTGTGGTCAGCGCCCCAAAGGAGTGATTTCTCACTTTGTCTTCGCTGTCTCTCTCTGGCGAGCATACGTGCCCCATAGCAAAAATCTCTCTTTAAAAAAAAAAAAATTAGTGGGCCAACAGGTGTCATGGTGTTTGAGGTGTTGGAATTTCCACATGGCCAACTAAAATTCGAGTCCTGGACCTGGGGCTTGCTTTCTCACTCTCCCTCTCTCTCTGGCAAACTCATGATTGATGGATTGATTGATAAAATAATTGTTTAAAAAAAAAAGCCGTACCGTTTTCTTTCATTATAAAAGTAGTTCATGCTTAGAGAAAGCAGAAAAATACTAAAGAAAAAAACATTCTATGACCTGACAAGAGTAACTTCTTTCATATTTTTTCTTGAAATATATGTATGTATCATTTCATAAAATCTGTATTATACTGTGTGTGTGTGTGTGTGTGTGTGTATGTATACATACATACACACCCACACACACACACACACATACTTCTTTTCTGAGAGAGATTTTTGCTATAGGGTGTGTGCACTTGCCAGAGAAACAGAAAGAAAGTGAGAGATAACCCCCAAAGGGGATCGCCGCGCCACAATCCCCTCTTTATTCTCTTCTTGGGATTTTGGCCATGCACACAAACACGCCCAGTGTGATTTCTAAGCTGCTGGGTCTGACACTTGAACCGTGGTCAACTATGTGGGAGTCCAGTGATGTAACCATTATGCCATCTGCCGGTCTCATACTTTTTTTTGAGAGATTTTTGCAGTAGGAAACACGCACTTCACCAGAAAAACAGAGAGAGACAGAAAGCGAGAAATCATCCCCCAGAGTGGGGGGACGGCCACGCCGCAATCCCTTCTCCTGTCGGGATCTTGGGCACACACCCACACAAGCCTGAAACCACTGCCAAAGGAAAGTTTCAAAAGATAAGCCAGTGGGACCAGCAGTTGGCATAATGGCTATGTCGCTGGACTCCCACGTAGTTGACCGTGATTCAAGTCCCAGACCTGGTGACTTAAACTCATGCCGGGCATGTGTGTGTGCATGCGAAAATCCAGAGAGGACAATGGAGGAGAAGGGATTGCAGCGTGGCCACCCCCCCCCCGGGGGGGGGGTTTTTCACTTTCTG